GTACTGTGAACTGCACTAAAAAAGCAGCAGCAAGCACCTTAACCACTGGAACATGAGCCCGCTGCACCCTAACTCTCCCTGCATACCGACTGGTTCTGTCTGTATGTGTGCATGTCTATGTTTGTACCTATGTGTCTTCCTTGCTCGTTCCTCACCTTGTTCTTGAGGCAGGGTCTCTCACTGACCCTGGAGTTCACTGGTTGAGTTGGGCTGGCTGGCTGGTGAGCAAGCCCTAGGAATCCTCCCATGGCCACCCCCATCTCGGGGATCACAGGCTTTTTGTGGGGCTGGGGGTTGAACTCAACCGCTCCTGCTGTGTGGCAAGTGCTTCAGTTCGCATCAGAGCCGCACAGAGATCAAGTTCAGCTGATTGTGTGTGTGTGTAATTTCTTCATGCTCTCCCTTTTCTTGTGTTTCTTCTCCTTGTTACTTTCTCTTTGCTTTGTTTGAGGATGTTTTTGTGTTCTTGTTTCCCCTTCTTCTGGTTGGGAAGGTTTTTGGTGTATTTTTGTTTTCTTACCCATTCAAGTGTGTTATCTGTGCCCCTAGAAGAACCGGGTTCCCAAGGCTACTGTATATGCAAAGTGAATAGAACGCAGCGACCAACGCCCAGTGGGAGCCTCCCTGGTGCCCCGTCCTCACCCTCAGCACCCACCCACCTGCTCTGAGCTGACCACTGCCCTAACTTCCGTTGCCACTTATTAACTGTACTTGTTTTGACCTTGATATAAGCGATTCATACAACATGCACACCTCCATGTCTGCAATCAGGTAGCTCCACGCTCAGTTACGGTTTAGAGTGGCAAAGAAGTCGGTTGATAGAGCACTCGGCTGGCATGCAAGGAGCCCTGGATTTGATTCCTAGCACTGTGTAAAGGGTGTGATGGTGACGCCTGTGATCCCCAACATTTGGGAGCTGGAAGCAGGAGGATCCAGAGATTCAAAGTCATCCTTGGCTACACAGTAAATCTGAGGCCATCCTGGACTACAGGAGACCCTACCTGAAAAAATAATTTTAAAATATAATAAGGAGCCAGGCAGTGGTGGCACACACCTTTAATCCCAGCACTTGGAGGCAGAGCCAGGCTGATCTCTGTGAGTTCGAGGCCAGCCTGGTCTACAAAGTGAGTTCCAGGAAAGGTGCAAAACTACACAGAGAAACCCTGTCTCGAGAAACCAAAAAAAAAAAAAAAAAAAAGAAAGAAAGAATACAATAAGGAGCTGGTGAGGTGGCTCAGGGGGCACAGACACTTCTGTGGACCTGAGTTCGGTACCCAGTCCCCACAAGACTTCAGCTGGGCATGACGGCACATGCGTGGAATCCCACCTGGGAGGTGGAGGCAGGAGGATCGGGAGTTTCAGGTCATCCTCAGCTACCTTGAGAATTTGCCGCTTGGAATCGTGTTTTAACGAATTACTTAACTAGTGCCACAGTGGCTTCGGCTAATGATTTTATCCTCGTCTCGTTCCTTCGCAGACGGTTAAACAGGTGTGTGTCATGTACTGACTTGTGCTAGCTGGTTTTAGCTTCTTGGTACGTACAGGCCTCCTGCAGAAGGTAAAATCTGAACCAAGACTCCCAGGCAGAGGGAGAGAGCAGCGTGTTGGTGGCCAGGGCTGGAACATTGTCAGAACCCGGGCAGTGAGAGGAAAGCACCCTGCTTCTAGAGTGCATTGGAAGGAGCCGAGCCAGTGAAGTGTGGGATGGAAGCCAGGGTCAAGTACAGGACAGTTGCCTGCATCTCTTAGGCCAGACTGAGGCTGCTGTCCTCAGAGCAGGAGGAGGAGGAGGAGGAGGGGGAGGAGGAGGAGGGGGCGCGTAACTGCCGCAGGGCTATGCAGGCTACAGGAACTGACCAGGAGGAGGGCGCAAGTTAGGGACTGGTGGTGATTGTGGTGTGTGCGTACACACCATCAGTCAGACTCAAACCGCAGTGTGAGAGTGGAAAGCCGCATGTGCTGTGGCCCACACCAATAACCTCAGCCCTTGGGAAACTGAGGTAGGAGGGTTGCCGTGAGTTCGAGACCAGCCTCAGCTAGCCACAGTGCAAAATCCTGTCTCAAGGAGGGAAGGGACGGGGAGGAAAGGGTGAGAGGGAGAAGTGAGAATGTAGCCGCTAGTGTTTTCCTGCAGCAAGTGTGAGAGGAAGGTAAGAGGCAGATGCCTCAGGCCGGGCGGGGAGATGGCTCATGAGTAAAGAGCTTCTCACCAAGGCTGAGGACCCGAGTTCAAGTCCCAGGATCCACAGAGAGAAAACTGACCCCTGAAGGTTGTCCACTGATCTCCACATGCAAGCTGTGGCAGTGCACACACACACACACACACACACACACACACACACACACACACACACACACTAAAATTTTAGATATAAAAACCCAACAACATGCCAGGTAGTGGTGGCCAGCACTTGAGAGACAGAGGCAGGTGGATCTTTGAGTTTGAGGCCAGCGTGTTCTACAAAGCAAGTTTCAGGACAGCCAGGGGAACACAGAGAAACCTTCTCTTAAAAAATAAATAAATAAATAAATTAACCCTATAATAACCAGAATCAAATGTCTCTCACTGGAGTTGTCACTTCTGTGTTGGAGATCACGTGTGTGGCATGTGTGTGTGTGTGTGTGTGTGTGTGTGTGTGTGTGTGTGTGTGTACACATGTGTACATGCACACTATGGTACTCGTGTGAAGACCAGAGACATCTCCGTGACAGTCACCAGCAGAGGGTGTCTGCAGTCCACACAGTGGACTTTGGACTATGAGGGGGAGCAGACAGAGGACTGTGCAAAAGACCCACACAGGAGATCACGTGGATCTAACTGTCAGACCAAGCAGGACAGACCTGGGAGGGGAACCATCTTCGCAGTGAATGTGACAGCCAGCAAGGTAGTCCGGGCAGGTGAAGGCACTGGCCGGCAAACCTGACAGCCTGATTCACCTTCCAGGCCCCACGTGGTAGGAGAGAATTGACTCCCACAGTGGTCCGCTGACCTCCACGACTGCACACCCACGTAATAATTTTTTTAATGTAATAAATAATTTTTTTAAAAAAAACCTAATGTGGTAGATTCCAGTTTAACATGTGGCCCTCTCATCCCTCCTTTCTTCTGCTTTCTCACCTCCTCACCTCTTTTTCTCTTGTTTCTTTCCTTTGCGATATTTCAGGCCTAGAGGGCAGATGGCCTGCTTTATATTACCATTATCATCATCATCATCATCACCATCACTAGGACTAGAGGATAGAAATGCCTTATTTTTTTTTTCATTCATTCACTCCTTGATTGATTGATTGGTTTTTTCGAGACAGGGTTTCCCTGTGTAGTACTAGCTGTTCTAGAGTTCGCTCTGTAGACCAGGCTGGTCTCGAACCCAGAGATCAGTGTGCCTCTACCCACCCACCAAGTGCTGGAATTACAGGCCTGGCTCTGGAATGACTTCTTTTAAAAGGCACAGTGGAGCCTTCTGTTTGTCCCCCAGTGCTGGTGGTCACACCCAGGGCTTTGCACATGCTAGACCAGCGGTCTGCCACCAAGTAACACCGCTGGCCCTTAGCGGTCTTTCTCATGGGATTTGTAGGTATGTAGGTAACAGATTTGTTAAAGTATCTGGAATATTTGCTGCCATGAGAAAGGGAAATATCTAATGACAAGTGCCCCATGTAGACTCTGCCTGGCTCCTCTCTTCTCCAAAGACATAGGGAGGAGGGGAAGTCTCTCCCTGGGAACCAAGGTTAAGGGTACCCAAAGGAGAGAGACATAGCTCCCTTGGACTCTGGAGAGAATGGCCTCCCAGCAGGCTGCATAAGCCAGTACTCACTGATAAAGGTCACGTGTGACTCTTCAAGGCATCAAGGCTTGACACACTTATGACATTTGCATCTTTGTAAGGTACTGTCTTTGGTGTGGGTAAAGCCGAACCAGACATGGTTAACACTTTGACCATAAATCTATAGTTCCTCCCTCGCCTATCCTGGTTAGGCAGTGGTGGCTCTATTTTTATGAGCTCTTGAATTAATTGGTAACGTGTTTTAATAATTCTATAGAGTGTGTGTGTGTGTGTGTGTGTGTGTGTGTGTGTGTGTGTGTATGCACACTCCTGTGAGCTTGTCTGTGTGTACATGTGTAAAGGACAAAGGCCAACTTCCGGTATCTTTCCCTGTCTCTCTCTGGTCTATTGTTTGATGTAAGGTCCCTCCCTGGACTCTGAGCTTGCTGTATCAGCTAGACTGACTGCCTAGCAAGCCTGGGGATCCCCCCTACCTCAGTATCCCCTGGTGCTGGGTTACAGATGTGTGCCACCACACCTGGCTTTCCTGTGAGTCCTGAGGATCTGAACCCAGGTCCTCATGCTTCTGTGGTGGGCAGGGCATTCCCACCCACTCAGCCACCTCCCCAGCCCAGCCATTGGCCTCTGCCTCGCCTCTGAGCAGAGTCGCTCATGCCGATTTCTGGCTGTGTAATAATATGGGAATCTTTAACACATGACAGTATGAGGTTCACACAGCCTCTGCGGGTGTTCCTCACACTGGACAAGGACTGTTTATAGCTACAGCTACCAAGCATCGCCACACAAGATGCTAAATAGAATCTGTTGGAGGGTGAGTGAAAATAGGAGACTGGAGCATGACAAGCCAGTTCCTGTGGACCCTGCTTGATTCCCTGGGTGGGAAAGAGCCGCTCTCTGCTGAGTTTGCCCCCTAAATGCTCTGACAGGCCGTATTGATGGCCAGTCTGAAAGCCATGTTTCGAGCACAGATGATGATGATAATGGAGAAATAAAGGATAAGAGATACAGCATTTGTGTGTATTTGCTTATTTTCTGAAACATTAATTACCTGGATAGGAGGTTATGATCTTGCTAAGTAATAAACTAGTATTACAATTAAACAGAGATGAGACGTGGTGGTACATGATTTTAATCCCAGCACTCAGGAGGCAGCAGCAGATGAATCTCTTGAGTTCAAGGTCAGCCTGGTCTACAGAGTGAGTTTCAAAACAGACAGGGCTACCCAGAGAAATCCTGTCTTGAAAAAAAAAGAAAAAAGAATTTTACAGATATGTGTTTAAAGGGTTAACAGTTTTTTCTCTTCTCTTCCCCAATCCCCTTTATAGTTTAAAGAAGTCCCAAAAGGTCCAATCCCTCCGTCTACACCCAAGTTCGCATATGGAAAAGTTGCTCTGAGAAAGGTAAGATGGTACAGGGTCGGGAGTGTGGCTCAGTGGGTAGAGCGCTTGCCTGGCATGCGTGGAGCCCTGGGTTCCATTCCCAGTGCCTCATAAACCAGGCACACACCTGTCACCCCAGCATTCAAGAGTAGAGACAGGAGGATCAGGAGTTCAAGATCATCCTTGGCTACATAGTGAGTCAGAGGCTGGCCTGGACTACATCAAGATCCTGTCTCAAAAGAAAAAAATGTCAAGTCTTCACTGAGAATCCTATGGGGAGACACAGTGAGTGACAGTGTCTCAGGCCAGGGGGGTTGCCGCTTTTCTCTGAATCTGTTTTCTGAGAGCTGGTGGTGACTGATGTTCTCAGGGAACGAGGTGGAAGCTAAGAAGATAGGGATGTAAACTGACAGCATGCAAAGACACACCACCAAGAGGGAGAGCTGTTCTTGGACACTCGGGTCATTTTGGTCCAAGTCTTGGCTTTCAAAGGCAGTACCGTGGGCTGCTGTGAGCACGCCATCCTGCTCTGTTACTCTGTCCAGTGAGGCTTTCTCCCATCGTTTACCTTTTCATTTTTTCCTTTATTACATTTATTTTTGGGGTTGGGAGACATGCATACCCTGATGCTCAAATGGAGGCCAGTGGCGAACATGAAGGAGTCCGTTAGCCCTTCTGCTGTGGGACTCTCCTGACTCGAACCCGGGTCATCAGACACGGTGATGAGAGCCCTTACCTGCTGAACCAGCTTGCCAGCCCCATCCACCCCTTTTTAATGAGTTCCTCCAAGCCCCAGGATTTTTTATATCTCTGCCCTTAAGTTAGATCCAAAAATTGTATCCTAGTGGTTTATTGGATACTGGAACATCAGAGGAAAAATATAGAAATTAATCATTAATAAGAAGTGAGGTCATTTTATTCTGGGGAAACAGGAGAGAGTTACTTAATGGTTGGGAGGAGGGATGTACCAAAATTGGTTTGTTTTGACTCTCTGGGTCTTCAGGTTTTCCCCTCGACCCATCCCTTACTCCTACATGTATTCGTTAACAAGAAAAAGAAGAAAACATGAACAGTCACTTATTTCTTAAGAATCTTGAAATTCTAAAATAGCAACATATGTTTTTATCTTTAAGCCAAACGCCAAACACCACGGTGTAGTTTTTCCATTCGAAGCCCTCTGGCTTCTGGTTGGCTGGTGGTGCTTCTGTAATAGTTTCCACCACCTAGTGTGGAATCCTGTGCCACATTCTACAAAGAATGTTGTCTCTGATAGGAATCTCTTCTTAGATTAATCATGCCTGAATCACGCTTGGACAGGGAAGCTTATTCTTCTCTGTAGCTACCTAAGACAAAATAGTTGCTTGGTTTTAAAACAGTAAAAAGTTCTTTTATGCGATATAAAATAACCTCAAATGTTTAAAACAGCAGCA